GGGGGGGGGGGGCTTGGAGCTCTTTGCACCTGTGATAGATCTCTGGTCTATATCCATTTGGAATAGAAAACAAAAACTTTTCCCCCTTTCACATTCAAGCCTTTGCTTTAAGATTGCTGGGTGGCCCTAGGCGGTTTTGCTCAGTGGTTAGAGCTTTGGCTCTTGGACTGAAGGGTCCTGGGTTTGATTCCAGTCAAGGGCATGTACCTGGGTTGCAGGCTTGGTCCCTGGTCCCAGTTGGGGTGCGTGCTGGTGGCAACCAATTGATGTGTCTCTCTCACGTCAAAGTTTCTCTCTGTCTCTCCCCCTACCTTTTACTGTCTAAAAAAATCAATGAAAAAAAGTATCCTCCAGTGAGGATTAACAACAACAAGAAAAGATTGCTGGGTGTTCATGTGCCACTTAGTGATTTGGAACTAAAAGTTACAGGCAAGAACTAGTGTGGCTCTTTGGGGGAACTATTTTCCTCTCTTTAGTTTGAGGGGACTTTCTTCATATCATATATACACAAAGCAAAATTCCTTTTTTCTTCTCTGAAAGCATTATCTTGAGTAAAAAAGACTACAGTTAGCAAGTCCAGCATTTGAACTACATTTTAAGAGAATGATATTAACTACTGAAGGCAACTGCTCCCTAAAATGAAGCTGTGAGCCCAGACCCAGGCAGTCCCCTTGAATAGCCTGTATTCCTGTTCAGAAGAGGTGAGGGTGTATGCCCATAACTGCCTGGCAACAGGAGTATTATTCTGTCTTACATATCGTTAACTAAAGTGAGAAAAGACCCTTCCCAACCCTGTCTAAGATAATAAAAGGAAAACTACAGGGATCTTTTCCACATGTTTTGAGTACCCAGATTGTTTTTAGGCCCATATCTTCTGTAATGTTTGGGAGAAAAGTGTCTGTTTTCCTATTTTGAACATCAAGTAATAATCTAAGATTTCTTTGCTATCCTGAATTGAAAAGAGAATGTATGTGTGTTTTTAATTTTTAAACTACTAGGTGATGCTGGCATAAAATCTACTGTAGAACTACGAATAAATAGGCTTGCCTCTCCCTGTGGTGGAGCTCTAACTGCATTTATGTGTTTAATGAGCTAGGGTAAGAAAATTGTTTAGTTCATTTTAGTGATATAGAAAGTAGTAGGAGCCCAGCGGTTGAGCATCGACCTAGGATCCAGGAGATCGTGGTTCGATTCCTGGTCAGGGCACATGCCAGGGTTGCAGGCTCGATCCCCAGTCGAGGACGTGCAGGAGGCAGCTGATCAATGACTTTCATCACTGATGTTTCTCTCTCTCTCCCTCTCCCTACCTCTCTCTGAAATCAATAAAGACATATTTTTTAAAAATAATGAAAGTAGTAGGAGCTATGACCTATAGATTGGAAAAGTCTCTTTCCAGCCTTATTCGTAAATTGCCTCCATTCTAGACTATTCTTTGAAAACTAGGTGATTTCTATGACAACTGAGGGCCCATCTTAGGGTACATTCAGAATTTGAAGGTTTTCCCTATAGTGGAATTATGAAACGGATCTGGTCTTAAATTTCCCTAATTGTCTCTTAGACTGGGGAGATTTAAGGGACAATTCTAGTCTTCAACTCAAGTTAAATTGAACCTATGAATGCCTCTGGGACCTTCCGTTGCAATCTCGAATGCTCCTTCCAAAGCAGAATTGGATTGGCCTCTCATGGTTAATAGAAGTACCTTAAGGAGAAAATTTTCTGTGACATTCAGCAACTAGTTCTTTAATATGACCCAGTAGAAAAAATTCTAAAATAAAATATTTTTTAGACCCACAACTTTTTAAAAATTGATAAATAGAAATGTCAGGTTTACTTCTCACATGATAACAAAATACTTAACTTTTTATTGGAAAATTCTGCATGTCAGAGATACTTAATCTTGTCAGGACAGCCACAGCCATGGATTCATGTTTCGGTTGGAATAATCACATAGGAAGAAGCCATTATCCAGAGGTTGAAAATTAGTGGTAGCCTAGAAGCCACTTCCAGCCTCTTCAAATGTATTTGGTTTGGCTTGCATTGTACATTTTAAAATTTTAAGTGGCTGCTAATATTTAAAATTCAAGAAGGTACAGATGAAGATCCAGATTTCTGATTCCTCTTGGAATAAAATGGACAAACTGTCAAATCTGGGCCCCAAGTTGAGTGGCCTGGCTGTTAATCCCTTAGAATAGGATATATATTTTCTAATTCATTACAGTTCCCCACACACTATCCATTTATTTAAAGTCCTAATGATTCCTTTATTCAGATGAGTAAGGTGAGGAGGAATTAGAGTCTGCACTCAAGTGGGAACAGATAGAGAGAAAAATGATGACGAGGTAAATATTGGTGGGACTTGGCAACTATACTGACGGTTTGAGCCTGGATTGATT